TGCCAACTTCCAACGGAAAGTAGCCGATCTGTTCTGCCTCCTGAGCTCCGGCTGCTGCAGAAGGTTTTGAACACCGCGATTTCTCTCTGCGGAAAGATTTGGGATGTTAAAAAAAAAAAGGTCACCCACCAACCCGGCTCTGAACTGGGTCCTCCGTTGCCAGGTGGGCAGGGTGGAAATGGAAGGAAACCCCAGCAAATGTTTTCTGAAGCCGCTAACAATTTATCGGCCCCTTTGGAAGCACATCCTGGCACTGAAGGGCCCCGTGGTCTCCGATACCTGTGCAAAGGCAGAGGCTGTTCAAAGATCGTCCCATCTGGAAGAAGAAAGAGCACGCACGGGGCGCCCCGTGGAGCTTTCAGGGCTGGTTTGCTGGGAATCTGGCCATGCTGGATCAGCATCTGGTCTTCAAAGGCAGAGTGCTCTTAAACGGGGAGGGTTTTCCTTGGCAGGAGAAGAACAGGCGGGGAGCCGTCATCTGCTGCAGAAGAGGCCCTCAGGCAGAACCAAATCAAACCACCAAATGGAGAGAGAGGGGCGAACACAGTCTTGGCGGATCCGATCCGAAAGATGAACAAGAAACCAGGGGTTTCAACCACGGGGAAGCAGGTTTGGGTGGGACGCCAGGAAGAAATCCCCAAAGCTGTTCCCCAGTGGAAGATGGACAGACTTCCCATCGCCGAAGGTCACTGGAAATTCTTGGGGGTTGGGATGGGTACAAGAGCAACGGTGGTGGGTTCTCCATCTCTGGAGGGGTCCTGAGAAGAGACCGGACGGCCACTCTTGAAGATGGTGGAATTGGTCCTCTTGCACATCGCAGAGGGCTGGACTACATGGCCCTCAGGGTCCCGCCCTACTCCACGCTCCTACGAACAGCGGCTGGATGGCCACCGGTCATGGGTGCCACGCAATACGCCCCCCCACCAACTAGCCAGATCCCCACATTAACCCTGGATAGAAGGAACCCCGCTTAGCATCCCGGTGTGAATTGGCCTGGTCCAAAAGGATTCGCAGAGGCTCACGGGCAAAGGCTTCGCGCTCCCCAAGCCGTTGGGGCATTATTCCAAATATTTAGCTTCCTTTCTCAAAGGGGACAAGAAAAGGTCTCGGGGGAAAATGCTTCCCCTTCTGAGCGTCTGCTTTTCGGGGAAATCGGGGGTGGCGGAACACGTCTGTATTGCTGAACCTCAGAATCGGAAGGGGCCACTTAGGGAATCGGCCCCAACTCCTCCCTCTTACAGGGGCCCTATCCGTTCAAGGGCCTTGAAGGGAGGATCGGACAGATATGCAATAAATAATAATAAAAAGGTTTAGCTTAGAAAGATAAAGGTAAGACTTCCTTCCTTCCTTCCTTCCTTCCTTCCTTCCTTCCTTCCTTCCTTCCTTCCTTCCTTCCTTCCCTTTTTCTTTC